TTATTATTATTATTATTATTATTATTATTATTATTATTATATAAATTAAGGAAGGCGTGACCACTTGATAATATATTTATGATCCTAAAAGACAGTACACGATCCATTCTAACTCAGGGAAAGGAACAACTGGAAGATTTCTATAATCCAAATCTGAAAATGGTTCCTTTCTCATTTACTGCTTTTGTAATGTTTATATTTACAAACAACACACCCAGCAGAACATTTCATGTCCTAGAGTTATAGGCTCTGGCATCACCCATAGAAAAGCTTTTAAGCCAATAAGCCACAGAGGAAGCAACAGGAATGGCAACCTCCCCATTTTGGAATATTACACAAAAGCTATTTCATTTGAATGATTGCCAATGTACAAAACTAAATGCATTTGTGATCAAAATAGATTCAGAGCAGATCTTAATAGATATGGAAAATCCCTATCAGTTCAAGGTGGCACATACAAGCTGAATTGGCAGAGCTGTGAAGGGGAGATGTCTGTTCATATCTGATACCGTCAGTAAAGCCACCTCAGTGATGAGCTTCCCAAAAATGCATTGGGGAGATTTTGATGCAAAGAAAATCAATAACACAGGAAAGACAGGAGGGAAAGCAAGGTGATCTGAAGCCATGCCAGATTAATCATTGAGCAGATAATGGACCTTCTCCTAGTCCATTTTGGCTGAAAGGAAGAGTTCCAAAAACATCATTCTTTGTTAAAAATATAAAGGTGATTAACAGATTTTTTAAAGTCTTTTACTCAGCCAACATGCGCACCTCTCTAAGTTATTCTGTCCACTTCAGTGCTCACTGTCTAGCAAAGAGACAAAGTTCATACACATCCTTTATTCCTCCTTACTGTGCCAGAAGCAGAAATAATCCTGGTGCATTGAAAGTGCATGGGAGTGGGCAGAGAGATAATGACTGAAAGAACCTGCTAGCATGAAGTGCATGCATGGATGGCATGCTATTAGCTCAGGCAGTAACATAGTGGGATACATTTTGAAGAACAAGTATTCATTGCTTATGCTCCCATGGAGAATCCAATAATTCAGGCAGCTGTTTTTGTTATTACCAATCAACCAGTTGTACTGTTTTCATTGCCATCAGGAGCCAGTGAATAAGTCTCTGTGTCTTGTCCAATTTTTTTTGGACAAGACTGCAAGTCGCTTCTGGTGTCTGTAAGGATGTTGCCCAGGGGACAGCTGGATGTTTGATGTTTTACCATTCTTGTGGGAAGCTTTTCTCATGTCCCCGTATGGAGAGCTGGAACTGATAGAGGGAGCTCAACCTGCTCTCCTCGAATTCAAACTATTGACCTGTTGGTCAGCAATCCTGCTGGCACAAGGATTTAACCCAGTGTTTCTCAACCTGGGGGTTGGGACTCCTGGGGGGGGTCACCGGGGGTGTCAGAGGCATCGCCAAGACCATCAGAAAACACATTATTTTATGTTGGTCATGGGGGTTCTGTGTGGGAAGTTTGGCCCAATTCTATCCTTGGTGGGGTTCAGAATGCTCTTTGATTGTTGATAAACTATAAATCCCAGCAACTACAACTCCCAAATGTCAAGGTCTATTTTCCCCAAACTCCACCAGTGTTCACATTTGGGCATATAGAGTATTCATGCCAGGTTTGGTCCCGATCCATCATTGTTTGAGTCCACAGTGCTTTCTGGATGTAGGTGATCTACAACTCCAAAACACAAGTTCAATGCCCATCAAACCCTTCCAGTATTTTTTGTTGGTCATGGGAGTTCTGTGTGCCAAGTTTGGTGCAGATCCATTGTGGGCTGGGTTCAGAGTCCTCTTTAATAGTAGGTGAACTATAAATCCCAGCAACTTCAACTTCCAAATGACAAAATCAAACCCTCCCCCCAACCCCACCAGTATTCAAATTTGGGCATATTGGGTATTTGTGCCAAATTTGGACCAGTGAATGAAAATACATCCTACATATCAGATATTTACGATTTATAACAGTAGCAAAATGATAGTTATGAAGTAACAATGAAAATAATTTTATGGTTGGGGGTCACCACACATTGAGGAACTGTATTAAGGGATCACGGCATTAGAAAGGTTGAGAAACACTGGTTTAACCCATTGCACCACCAGGAGCTCCTGTGTATTGTCCATGACCACACCACTTCCAAATACCACTTCACATTATCAGAAGAGTAGCTCACAAAATATTGTATTGTTGTAATATAAGACTTTGTTTGCAATTTGCTGAGAATGTAACATCTAATGTGTTACTGGCAAAGTTTGCCCAAAAATTAAGAACTTGGTTTAAAGTGTTGGACTATGATCCTGGAAAATAGAGTTTGATTCCCTGGTTGGCCATAAACTTACTGATGGGATCACCTTAAGGTTGACATTGGTTGGAAACAACTAAAAATCACATAACAATTCCAACATCAGCCATTGCAATTTTTATTATAATAGAAAATAATTCTTCTGCCAAAGATCATTGCACAGGGCTTGAGTATTCAAATGGGATTTTAACAATGTTTTTGTCATCATCCAATTATTATTACATGAAGACCAGAATCCTGTTCAATATTTATGAGACTGTAAACTAGATTTATAATCCTGCAATTTTGGGCATGCATGTTTGCAGTAATTAATGACTGAATATGACCCCCAAAATCATATGGCTTATGTCAGGCAGCACGCCAACCAATGAGTTTCTGAAGTGCTACAGACTGAGTTTCTGGGACATTGAGACAAGTAGCTGCAGCGGCCTTTGAGAGGGGTCTCCCAAACTGATCCTCTTGATACACCCAATGACCAGATGACCACTCCAGTTGTCATTTCCCAAAGTCTTAGTCCCCAGCACCCAGTGTGGCTGGGTACTGCCTGACTTAAGAGGAAGACCTTTGGGGAGTTGCATCAGGAGAAGCAACTATGAGTGTGATGCTAATACAAGTCTAGACTGCATCAATTCTAGACTGAATAGTGTCTTAATCAAAGGAAGTAATAGCAATAGTCTCTTCTTCTTTGGTCAGGCTTCACTTGGACTACTCTACATAGAGTAGGGTAAGCAAAATGCTCAACGATCTGGAAACTATGCCTTATGAAGAGCAGCTTAGGGATTTGGGCATATTTAGTCTGTGGGGAGCTGTGACTATATTTAACTGTATGGTTTCACACTGGTGTGGCATTAGGGCTTGTGCAATAGTGATTAGAACGTGGGAGGATGGATGTTTTCTTTTTGTAATTCTACATATATAATGTGTATTGGGGGTAGTATTTAATTTTGTTGTATGATGTACAATAGCAATAAAATTATTCTATTCTATAGTATGTTGTTTCCCATTTTGAGAGTTAATAAATACTGTTCAAGGGTCTATTGGTTAGTTGCACTGCATTTATACATAGGATTGCTTTATTTAGATACTATATTTGAGGGAACCACAAAGCTTGAGCTGGATGACAGATGATATCATTATCCCTGTTTATCAGAACATCTGAGTGCGTCATCCTGTGAGTCCTTACTCCATTGAGACACTAAAGTGCTTCAGTTTCTGAGTTCTGTCTCCACTAAAAAAAATTCTGGAGATTATTTGCTCAGAAGAGAGAGCTCAGTAAAGAAAGATCAGTGGGACAAGAAGAAGGCATCTCCTTGTGTTCTAAGACATAGATGTGCTCGTGATCTGGCCGTATTGGAAAGCATTGGGAAAACTGTGCTGGGGCCCTGTGCCAGTTGCAGCCTCTGCAGATGCAGATTAGACTGGCAAGCTGCCACAGCCCATCGGTGAGCCAAAGGACAAGGAGGGAGGGGAGCAGGGCAAGCCGTGCAATGCAGTATTGGCTCTACTGATTAAAAGGGGAAAGTCACCAAATGCCACCAGTCACCAGATGCCATTGTACAAGCCTCATCATGTGAATTTACAGCCTGGCCAGCTCCCATTCATACTCCATCTTCAAATATGCACATTCCTGTTTCACTCCTCCCACCATCACTCACTCCTTACAAACAGCAACCTTGCTGTCTCCTTCACACTGAGATTGCAGTTGTTCTGGGAGGGTACTCTTTCCAAGGACAAGATGGTAGACAAGATTACAGGCTTCCTGGCCAAACAGAAGAAAGTCTTGGGCTGCAATGCTGTGGCATGCTGAGGCAGGATGTGTTTCAAAATATCAGATGCTGTGGGGTGCTTTTAATATCCCACTATGGGGGCATTGTGGCAAAGTACAATGTGATTCATACTGAGTATAAAGCCTTCTCATAATGCACTCCACCATATGTGCCAGTGTCAGGGCAAAACTGTGGCTGTGGTATAAATAAGAAGCCACATTTAAGGAGGGGGAAGAAATTTATTCAGCAGTACCTTAAACAATGTACCAACCCACCCACCCCCCAAAAATACAGGAACTGAAGCACACTGAAATTTGTACTTTTTAAAAATTTTGGGCACCTCTCTCCCATCTAAAGATTGAAATAGGATTGTGTATCTAAGTGGAAAGAACACACAAAAATGCATTTACTACTGAAAATCCCCCATGATGGGAAACTACATGCACAAATGTTCTCATTAGAAGAAATACGTACACTGATGTGTATACACACACACACACACGTGTGTGTGTGTGTGTGTGTGTGTGTGTGTGTGTATGTCATTGTAAAAAACCAGTGGACTTGATCATAACTTACTTCGAACTGTAAAATAAAAGAGAAATGGAATGGAGGTGAGCATCTAGCCACATTCCAGTTTAAAATTGCACATTTTGTTACAATTATCCAAAAGTTCCTATTATCACTTAGGAAGCAAACATGGGAAACAGATTTACATATGAATGAATTCAACCAGTGAACAGTCCCAAGAGGCAGCATCGAGGTCACTGAAGAAATAAATCACTGTCAGTATTTAATTAAGCAAGCAAAGACTTTGCAATTTCATATCAGACACTGCTGAATCTACCTACTGTCTGTAACACTGTAGTTTATTATTATTGTTGTCATTTTAAAAAACACATACATTAAAAAAACTGGTAAAGGATACCATAGCTTTCCATTGGTGACACAGCCAGCATTTGCCAAGGTGTTCCATTTTCAGGATGAATGCTAAATAAAACCTGGGGGTACATTAAATAGTAAATGTGGTAAATTACCAAATGTTTAAACAAAATGCCTCTTTCAAAATGTTATGAGCTAGAAACACTGCAAAGGAAACCTAGGCTTTCTTATCATGATTCCCTTAAACAAGTAGTCTGTTACTTATCTTTATCTCTCAAACTCATCTAAAAGTTGAAATAAAGAAGGCTTTCATCCCTGGTCCGAGAAGAGATGCTGATCTCCTTGCAAACTCATTGGGTCCCAACAAGAATAATCTCACTAACATGGAACTTTAAGCAAAAACAAGCTATTTGGATACATTCTACACACCTTGTTTTACATTCACAAAGTATTTGCATCTCTCACCTCAGTTAACCCCTCCCCATAGTACAAAATACTTAAACACTAAACATGTGCATTCAGGGTAAACCTTATCCTGTTTCACGTCCTGGCTTTCGTTGATCTATTTTTTGTAAGCCTCCTGAAATTGGGAGGTTTGTTTTTGGTTCTTTTGTTTCAGGGGCCGAAAATTGGACCATTATTTGGGGGGGGGGGCTTCCCACCCACTGGCTCCTCTTCCCAGCATGTGTTGTTCTTACCTGGCACCGGCTATTTCTACTCTATAGTAAGAGACGCTCGGCTATAGGTACTGGCAGGCGTGTGCGCTTTTCAGGCCTGCATGCACGCCCCGTCATATACGCACTCTCCTTGTAAAGAGAATGCATGTGTGGTGGGGTATGCAGGCAGAGGCAGAAAGTGTGTGCATAAGTGTGTGCCTGCAGCGGAGTAAGAGGCGTTCAGCTGCAGGCATACTCCGAACTTGCCTGTGTGCTCCACCACACACCCCCTACCACACTCTTTGAGAGTGCATGTGTGGCAGGGTGTGCAAGCAGGCCCGGACCAAGCCTGCAGCTGAGCTCCGGGCTTGCCTGCATGCCCCACCACACATGCACTCTCTTTCCATGGTAAGGAGGCAAGTTCGGATGCATGTGTTTTTGGGTGAGGAAGGGTCTTCTCATTTTGGCCAACTGAAGAAATGGAAGAAATGAAAAAAATGGTAGAAACAGTAGGAAGGAATTTAGTGCACATGTCTATTAAACACTATCCAGGCCAAAGGACAAATTTAAGATTTGAAAAGTTTTGTTTATGAAGAGAGCTAACGTTAGCCAGGTTTCAGCTAATGACTTCCACAAATCTGAAGTAGCTAAGCTCCTTTATCATTTGCATTATTGTCACTTTAGCTGGATGAAGTCCCTCGATATTTGTTTAGGTGTTCTTTCTCAAAAGGATTTAGAGAAAAATACCTCATGGGGCTGTTATCTATTAAATACAATTGGTCCACCAGTCAAAAAATGATGTTGGAAATTCTATGTTATATTTATATTTTTACTTTGTTACCTGGTGCTTTTATCATCTCATTGTTGTTACATTGTGATGATCTATGATTTTAAGCATTTAAAATTCAAACTGAACCGAACAGAACATTCAACTTTGAGATTCAGGAAAAGTAAAAAGTATTATATGTGAAAACCTTTTGAGATAACACACTCAAATTTCTTTATGAGCCGGTGATATTTTTCCTGGTGAAAATAATGTCTAGAACAGGCATGGGCAAACTTCAGCCCTCCAGATGTTTTGGACTTCAGCTCTCACAATTCCTAACAGCCAATACAGCCCCCCCCCCCCAAATTCTCATGGTGGTTCGCGAAAAGGCCTTACTGGTGCATTATTTAAACTGTTATGTTTATTCATATCATGATCTGATCACCATACTCAATATATCCCATATGCAGGGGGTATTGGGGTAACGATACAAAAGGTTTGCTAGGGTAGACCCTCTTTCACTCAGACTCAGCCCCCCCCAATAAACTCAGCCCCCCCCCCCGAATCAAAATCCTGGCTACGGGCCTGAACCAATAGGAATTGTGGGAGTTGAAGTCTAAAACATCAGCAGGGCTGAAATCTGCCCATGCCTAGTGCAGACCAATAAATGAATTGTTTCTGGTACTTCCAATTCCGTTTTTATTAAATTCCTTAAGGCCAAGTTGGCACAAGCAAGAAAAAGTGGACTCTGGTGACTGCAGAAAATGGAGAACTTGTTCAACATTATAGAGTCGATTCCTGCTCTATAATGTACACCTTCAAGTTATTTCAGCCTTCTTTGGCTATTCCATTTTCCAGTCCAACCCAGGTTTTATTCTTGCCTAGAAATAAGGAGATGCAGAGGGGAAAAGCTCTGACCTTAACTGTTGTTAAAGCCAAATTCTACTTATGACAACCCTAAGAATGAGAAATTTTCAAGGAAACTTTGGAGATCCAGTACTTACAGAGCATACAACTACAAAGATAAAAAGGCCAGAAACCTTGAAGAATCTTAAGCAGCATCTGTTAAAAAAAAAAAAGGGGGGGGGAGATAAAGAAGAGGTTTTTTTTCTAAGAACGAATAGTAGGAAAATATATTATTCTACTCATTCACATCACAAATATCGAAGGCTGGTATGGCAGTTAGCATTCCTGTCATTTCCATGAGACACTAAAGCAGGAAAGGAGTCATTTATCAAAGACTATATGGGAGATCTATCACTGACTTTTTATGGCTTTGTGGAGTAAAATAAGGAGATAGTATAAATAACCTTTCTAGCATACTCTTGACTGGTCATAGCTCTCCTGAGACAAAAGCATCCCCAACTCTGCTCCCTGCCATCCATGGGGGAGAAAACAGATCATGATGTTAAATATGTGGGTGCAATGAAAAGAACCTCCTCTTCCCATTCTGTAACATATAGAAGATATAAATAATGTGTTGAACATCACACAGTTTCCCCACCCTACTTGCTAGTGGCCAATAATGTACATTAAAGCATACGTTGTTGTGACATTAGATAGTAGATAGAGCTAGATATTATGTGTACATGTGTCCTGAAGTTTTATAAGTCTGGGGCAGGTTGGAGAAGAGAGTTTATGCTCCTTCCCACAAGTTCATTCACATATTTACAGGAATCTGGTGAATGATGAATATGATCCATGCAGGGGCCAATGGGACACATACAGGAGCGTGTAAGAATGTATGCAGTGGAAAGAGATCTTGATTTAAGGAGCAATGCTTTTTACCAATGCCTTGGATAAAGGGAGTAAGTTTTATTGTAGGAACTCCATTTTAGGACAAGATAGTAACTCAGGCTCCATCCACACAGCTGGACAAAAAACCACATTATCTGCTTTGAACTGAAAAATATGGCAGTGTGGACTCAAATAACCCAGTTCAAATAAGATATTATGGGATTTTCTGCCTTGTTATTCTGGGTTATTTGGCTGTGTGCAAGGGCCCTTAGGGTGCTGATCTAGTTCTATTTTAGAAGATCAAGAGATGATCTAGATGGGAAGAAGAAGAGTGGAGAAATATCCCTAAGAGTATGTGTTTACACCATGGAGTGGTCAAGAGAGGCAGACACAGAGAGAGAGGGCAGTTCAGATCACTCAAACTGTCCACTGCAAGGCATTCTTGTCAGCACTAAGAGCTCAGATGTGAGAGGCTTTTGTAGAATCCTAGGAGGAAATTTCACTCTCTGTTCCTCCCATTTCCTGACTTCATCTTAAACTGCTCTCAGTACTGTCAATGATTGAAGTTAATGCTGACTACATTCAGAACATATGCTTTGGCTCTGAACTCAGCACTTGTATTTATGAGGAATACATTGCCTTTGTGTTTGAAAAATGCTATAATCTTAGCATTTGCGAACCAAATCAAATTAAAAATTAAATACCAGTGAACAAGTATTGCTACCTTAAAATTATTCGTATCATATATTTAAACATAAATAGCATGCCATTCCTCGTTTAGAGATGTTTCTCTCTGCCTTGTGCCACATGCCCCTTCCTAATGTGCACTACTGTAATATTTACATATTTCAGAGCATTTGTTGTGCAAATTTAATTATGGTCACCACAACTGCATCCCTTGTCAAGGTTAATTTGATCGTTTCCAAATAACATTAAAATAATGGTAACCAAAACAGGCACCCGGAAAGGACAATAAAATCCAGGGACCATTAAATCCATCTTTTAAAAGTCCAGAAGTGCATGATCTTAAAAAAGCAACTCATCTGGGCAAATTGACATGATGGGAGAGCTTACCTTGGTTGGGGGGGGGGGGGGGGGATAATTTTATTAATAAACTACGGCACTTAAAGCCTTCCCATCACTAACCGTCATCCTTTTGGGTGCTTCAACTTACAGAATCCATGCTTTTAACAGCTTAGCAGCTAGCCACAATCAGACCTTGAACCATACATCTAGCATCATCAAGACCTTGGCACTCCAATTCTGTGGGATTTTTAAAAAGCCAATAATGCATCTGCACTTTACTTTAAAAGCTGCTTCACGCACGGAGGAAAATATAAAAAGCCGTTGCCCAAATGACTCACACATTCAATTTTGGATTGCCAGGTAATTTGCAAGAAGGGGGCTTGCAATCCTATCCACAGCAAGATGTTTTATTATGAAGGATTTGTTTAGTTCAACACAGAGAAAGATAGCAAGCTGACAAATAGCTCTTGCGTTGGAAACAGTGCTGCCTCCATTTCAGTCAAAGCCTTGCATTGTAGAAAAAGCAGAATTCGAAAGCTTACATTTTGGACAAGACTTCACACGTGGACTCATATCCTCACAACCTCTGAGGATGCCTGCTATACATGCAGGTGAAACATCAGGAGAGAACTCTTCTGAAACATGGCCATACAGCCCAAAAAACTTACAACAACCCAGTGATTCTGGCCATGAAAGTCATCGACAATACATTTCAGTAGTTAAAAATTCATTGAGTTTTGACAGGAGACTAACACAAAGTTGGCAGTACAGTTGACATCATATTTGGTTTCTTCCAAGAAAATTCTGAGGGATTTGGGAAATATTTTTTATTGTACAAAAGCATGAAATTCTGTGATAAAGAGATAAAGGGGTTTAGATAAATAAATCTGTGTAAAACAAGTCATGCAGTCCCCAAGGATGTTTTTATGGCTCCGTCCCTGGTGGTGCACTGGGAGATACTCAGTAAATGGCTAAATCCCATGAGAGAAACCCCCAAACTCATCTTTTAATCCCCAAATTGACTCTTCTGAGGTCCAAAATAGACAATAAATTACTTCTCCTGGAAGTATGCAAGGGCAATAGTTGATGCTTCAAATGAGTTCAAAGTCTTTACTGTGCTGTGTAATGTAAACCTATAATCTGAGAATCAAAAGTGGATTTTCAGCCATTTTGAAGTTTGGGTTTCATTTATTGGTCATCATGTGGGCCCAGTCAAAAAACTGGCCCTTAGACAAGCTACATTTGCCCACCTTGGTGTTTACAAACACAATTTGGTTGCAATCCGACACCCCCAAGCATGGCAGTACGTATCTTCATGGAGAGATAGACTGCACCAAACGATACAATCCCCATGGAGAATAATAATACTGCACAACACATATCAATGACTGGGTGCTCATGTGTAATGAGTACTGCACAATGAACAATATGCAGTGTATATTAGAACATAAATCTCATCATGGGGAAACTACAGTGATGACCACCATCCATGAACACTAAGGCATATGCATTTTTTCTTGCTTCTGAATCTCTCAACTGTTTAGCTCTACATATATGGTTCTCAATGAAAGTTTGCACATTTAAATTGTCTCAGCATCTGGAAATGCTCACAAGTTTATTCAGCAATGCAGTATCGAAAAATATTTCAAAGAACAATTTGTCAGGAGTATATTTCTGCTGCAGCATAAAAGAAACAATGCAAAGAGTAGCTGCCAACCGCTCTACCTAACTAGGGCAATTACATCTGGCTGTGCTTACACAGCAATGATAAGGAACAAGGAAATTCCACGCTGCTTTGAACACATTTATATACCCATGATTAAGCCAGAAAAAGTGAAGGTTAAGAAGGAAGGGTACGAGAAGAAAACAAAAACTGTGTGGAGAAACAGATATTACCAGCAGCAGGTTCTGGGTTTTATTTATAAAGGTCTACTAATCTTCTGTATTGACAGTTGGGCTATTGTATGTTAGTGGCAATTCACAATATGCCACAGTCACTGTTCCATTTATTAACTCCAGCTGGTGAGTTTACACAATGTGGTACAGTCCTCTCATACAGCTTTACCACTTCGGGTAATTAATGAGAGTTGGTTGCTTGAAACCATCTGCCATATGAAAGATGAACCAAAAAGAAAATTAAAAAGACACACTTTAAATAAAAGCATTCACAATATGCTTTTGTTTTTCACTTCATCATTCCTAAATTATGCAATAATACCAGTATATACCTAAATACATGAAGTGAAAGGATGTGATTTAGCAAGGTAAATAGAACGGTCTTTTGTCTTTCCAAATTATTTGCATTGTAATGTGGAGAAGGGAATAATATATCTCTTGTTTTAGGTGGAAATTTATTATTAGCGCTTTTACTTTTAGCAATTTTAACATTTTAGATATTTTTCTTTAAAAAATATAAATTACATGTGAGGCTCATTTTGTATTTTGATATGTAGTCTGTATTCTGTTTGTTTCTACCAAATTATGATACACCATAGTTATAAATAAAAACGTTCCAGTTCCAAAACTGAGATGAAATCATCATTATGTTCTGGGCGGATGAAGCACCCCCATTTGTTTTCTGTTAAAACTGTGGTTCTCAACCTGTGGGCCCCCAGGTATTTTAGCCTACAGCTCCCAGAAATCCTAGCCAGTTTACTAGCTGTTAGGATTTCTGGGAGTTGAAGGCCAAGACACCTGGGGACCCACAGGTTGAGAACCACTGTGCTAAAATGAATTACCCTAGTGAAATAGAGCAAAGTTAGCATTTTCAAGATTTATATGCGATCTACTACTTTCCATAGGTAAAGATAAAGGTTTTCCTCTGACATTAAGTCCAGTCGTGCCCAATTTTGAGGGCTGGTGCTCATCTCCATTTCTAAGCCGAAGAACCAGCGTTGTCCATGGACACCTCCAAGGTCATGTGGCTGGCATGACTGCATGTAGCGCCATTAACTACCCGTCAGAGCGGCACCTATTGATCTACTCACATTTGCGTGCTTTTGAACTGCTAAGGTGGCAGAAGCTAGGGCTAACAGCGGGAGCTCACGCTGCTCCGCAGATTTGAAACTGCGACCTTTCGGTAAGCAAATTCAGCAGCTCTGCAATTTAACCCATTGCGCCACCAGGGCCCCTTTTATGCAGTGTTTGGACGTAAAGATTTTTGTAGTTTTGTGTTTAAACACACAATGACTAACAAAAAAAAGCATTTATACTTATGTATAAGTTGACCTTATGTATAAGTTGAGGGCAGGTTTTGGAACCAAAATTATGGCTTTTGATATGAACCCTAAATACTAGTGTTGGTTAGGTTCAGTTAGGAAAATCCGAAAAACCTACCGAATTTGGACTTCTGAAGCAGTTTTGAACCATTCAGGAAAAGTGGGAGGGGTAAATACGAATTTGAACCACTTACCTTCTTTCGGAAATATTCCATAATGTTCGGATGTCTCCCAAGGTTATTTTAATTTTCACAAACATTGTAAAGCCTAATAGTTTTAAAATCTCATGCTTCCCCTCCCAGGACAATTTATTAGTAATTATACATATATAATTTTATGTGACTTGTTTTATACTTTTATACCATTTTTACCTGTTATATATTATATGTGCACCCTGGAGTGCCTTGTAAGCTGCCCCAAGTCCCTTCGGGGAGATGGTGGCAGGATATAAATAAAGATTGTTGTTGTTGTTTTTGTAGAAGAACACGCAAGACCTGATCCAAGTTAACAATGTAATGCAAACATTTCAACTGGTTTCACAATTTCTAAATCTACATGGCATAAAGTCAAGAAGTTGAGTTCTAAAACAAACACAAAGGCTGCCAGATAATATGAGAAAATGCAGACTCTATCACTTTGTAATACAAAAGACATAAAATCACTTTGCACTCTAAATCTAATTTAAAAATCATTTCAAATGTCAAGATCTACAATATGGTGAGAGCTTGGAATAGTTTTCAGTTCTGGATATGATTTTTCACTCTATTACAGAATACATGCTACTGTTCTTACTGCTTTGAATAATGGTACTTGAAAGATTAGGAGGCTTGGAGAAGAGACGCAGCTAGTACTGATGGTCTTGAGTAGCTCCAAGTAGAAATATGTGTGGCAAAATAAATCCTACTGTAAAACAGCCATTTTACTTTGGATTTATGCCTCTCAGTGGAATGCCAATTCAATGGGGCAAAGCCCTACATTATCCCACACATACACATGGTTGTGAGCCTAAATCTCATTGATTAAATGGGTCTGTTCAAGGTTGTGATTTACTATGGGGTCCAAGCCAATATATTTTAATGTAGAAAAGTGAGGGCTGGAACATGCTGAGGCTGGAGTCCCCAGCCACAAAAGGTTTCCTTCCTTCTCCTTCCTTTCCTCCCTTCCCTTCCTTCCCTATCTTGCCATGCAGACCCTTTCCCGTGTGCCTTCCTTGCTTCCAGAACCCTTTCCTGCATGGAAGAAGGGGGTGGGATTGGATTGCTCCTGGGGTTTCTGCTATTATTATGATTATGATGATTACTACTACTACAACTACAAGTACTAGTACTACTACAAAGGCTGGATGGCCATCTTTTGGGGGTGCTTTGATTTGTGCCGTTACTGCATGGCAAAAGGGGGTTGGACTGGATGCCCCTTGGGGTCTTTCACTATATACTGTTAAGTTTATGTTGGTTACAACTATAAATATTTTAATTTTAAATATTGTATTGTTCTTTCTTTCTTTTTAGCACTATGAACGGGATATGTGCAGTGTTCATAGGAATTTATTCATTTTTTTCCATTAGTTCACACAAACATTCTCCATCCATCTGCTCACATGTCATATTTTAAAATGAAATTATATATATACATAATATATAATATATGATATGGTATATAATATATAATATATGGTAATATATAAAAATTTTATTGAGACTCCACGAGAAACGTTTCCTTCAAAAAGGTTTTTGTGGCTGAAAAAAGTTTGAGGTCCCCTGGGCTACTTCAATCTCAGATTATACTTCCAGATTAAACATTCCTTATCCAAAAAAATTGAAATCCAAAATACTCCAAATCCATCTGCACAAAGGACTGAAATAGTTAATGTACCCAAATTATATTTCATGCAAAATATTATTAAAGATTGGGTCCCATTTCCAATATATCTCAGTATCTATAAGTATTCTAAAATCACCCCCAAAAGCGGTATTACAGACCACTTCGAGCATTTTGGATAAGAGATGCAACCTACATAATGAAAGTGATTTTGACCCTTTATTTCTCCAAAGAAGAACAGCTCAAATAAGTCAAAGGTTTCAAACACAATGATGATAACCAGTGCTCTGAAGTATACTCTCTTCTAAACATGCAGGCTCTCCTAGGAACCTGTGTAAGATTATGCTGAAGATGTTTGCAATTCATGTCAGTTATCAAGTATAGGAGTTGAGAGGTTGTAAGCTAATCCCCTACTGTTTCCTTGGGCTATAAATCTGAAGAGATACTATCATCTGCTTCATGAGGGCGATCTGCACAAAATTGATGACACGATATGACTAAATGTATGGAGCATTATTTTCCTCATTAGCTGAAGGGAAAAATCAATTTCTTGATTCGTTCTGTAGCCTTCAACACTTGCAGAAACATTAACAGTGAAACAAAAGCTAGAATCGTACCTCATCTTGGATAAATTGAATTTGACATAAAAGTGGTCCAACATTTCAGATTTCTCCGAGGAAGATCTGGACAGACTGGCCATTTCACTGCCCAGCTGAAACCTTTGCTCGAATTCAGCCGAGCTGTTCTCCCAAGAGTCATCGTCTGTGGTGAAATCTGTATTATGAACAGTCACAAACCTGCAAAACAGAATTTCCAAAAAATCAAAAAACACATAACTCTGTTTCACCTGAGAATACCACCCATTTTGTAATCTGTGCAGCCTGGAGCAACAAAGTATAGAATGCTAATCTCTGGTGACCACAGCCATGATATAGAGGTGGGACAACACAGGCACATGAAGCTACAAGATATTTTTCAATGTAGGAGCAATGATGTCACCCTCCACAGTATCCGAAGCAAGTTGTTTAAACACTATGTCATGTATTAAAATGAAGCTATAGAAACCTACTAAGTTTCTCATGTTATTTTCAGAGGATGCGAGTGTGTGACTTGCCCAAGGCCTTGCAGTGGGCTTCAAAGGCTGAACAGCGATTTGAATTCCTCTCTTCAGAATACTCAAGCCACTATACCACCAGAACAGCATAGTTGTTGGACTGTGATGCTGGGAGACCAGGGGCCCATCCAGACAGGGCCCATAACGTGGGTGCTCCCGTGGTTTTACCGAAGGCATCCAAATGATATATCTGGTAAAACTGAGACAAAGCAGGAAACCCCTCCTTTTCCCAAATTAATTTGATAGCCCATTAGACCCACACCTTCATGAAAGGCGCAGGTCTAATGGGCTATGGGCCCTGTGTGATCACATCCCATGATCCCCGGGTCCAATCCACACAGCCCTCTCGGGTTTTTTGGGCTGAATGAAGAAGAACAGATAAGAATGATTCATTAAGACAATCATATGGTCAGAGAACAATAGACTATAGCTGTACAATTGTTAGGGTCCCATGTGTGTTTTTCATGCCTGACAAAATTATAAAGAACCAATGAGCATCTGTATAACCAGGCATGACCAATGAAATGATTAATCTTTGAACACCAATGAGAATGTGCATTCAATTTACTGCCAAAGTGATAAAAGCTTTGCAGCCCCATTGGGGGTTGCGACAAAACCTTTGTTTACATTCCTGTATGCATATTTGTCGCTATTTCTAGACCCGCAATAAAGCCTTTGTAGTAAGAATCCAAGTTGTGGCTAACTCCTTGCACAGCTACTTGGGGCATTAAGGGAACTCGTAAGCTTGTGCATTTGGAGTGGTGATGAGCCTGTGCCCCTACATCGGTGCCCCTTCAATAACAAAATAGTAACGAAATTTAAAAACGATTTAGAAAAAAAGCACCAGTCGTCCGTCTCCGTCCCCGTCCCCCCTAGTTTTGTAATGAATTTTGAACCTTTTTTATGGATCGCACATCCCTAGTAAATATTTATTGTCCCTAGGATATATTCAAGTGCAAGACTAGGTCCCTCAGAAATCAATAGCACCACTAACTGTTAATGATACTGTGGTATGCTATTTTTAAAATGACTCTCTTACCCATTTTCTTCAGTGGAAACTTTCAACAGGGGACTTCTCTCTGTAAAACAGCTATCTTTCGACCTTGCGCTGAAGAATTTAGGCAAAGTGAAGTGATACCTTAAGAAAGAAAGAAAGAAAGAAAGAAAGAAAGAAAGAAAGAAAGAAAGTTAATTTGTATTATAATCACCTCCGTAGTGTTGTCTGTAGCATTGTTGATGTTTAAGTAAAAGGGTTTTAACTAATTAGATACTACATCAAGCAGATGAATTCACCTGAGGGTACAGTCACAGCTGGCAAGTAGATTGAGCTCCATCCTTCCCATTTTACCTCTTCCTGATTTCATGGGCTTTTTGGTGAACACCTCCTGGGGCAGACTTTTCCCCATGCAAAATAGCACTTCAAGTATGTTCAAAGTCCATGCCATTTTAATAAAACAGATTGCCCCACAGACCAAGATTCAAAATATTTGAGCCTTAGAAATATGCTAACAGCACAGTGCAACTTCTTACTGAGCCACTGCTATAGGTAGAGTTGTTGATGTTTTAATGAGAGGATTTTTAATTAATTAGATACTACATTAAGCAGATGAATTCACCTGAGGGTATAGTCACAGCTGGCAAGTAGAATTATCTCCATCCTTCCCTTCTGACCTCTTTCTGATTTCAAGGGCTTTCGGTGAACACATTCTCAGGAAGTGTTCTCATATAAATTAAGACCTCATGTATTCACAAACCTCTATGCTATTAGAACAAAACAAATTGCCCCACAGACTAAGAATCAAAATATTTTGATCCCAGAAATATGCTAACTGCTCAGAGCAACTTCTTACTGACTTAGAGTGTATTCTTATATAACTACTGTATGTATATACTTGAGTATAAGCTTAGTTTTTCAACCCCCTTTTTTAGGCTGAAAAAGCTCCCCTTGGCCTATACTTGAGACAAGGTTATTTATTATTTTTCTCTATTATTAGTATTATTTTATTAATTTATTATTTTACTCTATTTCTGTTATTATTACATTTCCATTACTTTAATTTATTATTATTATTATTACATTTATTATTTTACTCTATTATTATTGGAAGAATATGTATGCATGTTTATATTGAAGAAGGTTAGAATAATGGTTTAATCAGAGTTGGACATTTTTATCTTAAATTAGTTTTATATAAATACTCAAAAAGATCTAACCTACTGATGCTTCAATTAATGTAATTTTATTTGCATCAATTTTTATTTTGAAATTTACCAGCAGCTGCTGCATTTCCCACCCTCGTCTTATACTTGAGTTAATACATTTTCCCAGCTTTTGTGGTAAAATTAGATACCTCGGCTTATATTCAGGTTGGCTTATATTCGAGTATATACGGTAATTATATTTGTAAGGCTTAGATGGCAGAGAATAACATTTTTGTTATTGCTGTTCTCTGTCTTCCAGTCATTTCTAACCTATTGATACCCTAAGGTCAACATACTATGGGGTTTGTTTTGGCAAGATTTGCTCAAAGTAAGTTTGCCATGGGCTTCCTCTGAGGCTGAGAAAGTGTGACTTGCCCAAGGTCACCCAGTGGGTTTCCATGGTCAAGCAGGATTTGAATCCTGGTCTCCCAGCATCCTTACCCAACAGTTAAGCCATTATGTTGGTCTAGAACAGTCATGGACAAACTTCGGCCCTCCAGGTGTTTTGGACTTCAACTCCCACAATTCCTATGAGCTGGGACTTCTGGGAGTTGGGCCAAAACACCCAAAGGGTCCAAGTTTGCCCAGGCCTGGTCTAGAAGACCAGGGCTTGAATCCCTACTGAAGAGAATAGAAAAAAACCTCATTGGAAAATTCTGAGCAACGAAATATGTCTTGGTCGCTTCATTCGGTGGTGGTCAAAATTTGAGTAAAATAGCGAAGCCGATATCCGAGAACAATCTACTCTAATATAGAGCATAAAGAATGGATGATAAAAATCTGTAGAACTCAGTTACTTTGTCAAAAGCATTGTCCAAAGTGTCTCAAGTGGTATGCAAATCCATCTTTAGTTTGCAAACATCTGATGAACATCAAGCAACAGCTATTCTGTTTCAAAGAATCACAAATCACATTTGTCTAACAAATCCAAGAACTAATTCACTTTGTTATCTTATACTGTATATCATATTAGAGAAGTAAAGTCTCTCACAAAAACTTAAACAGATGTCTGCATTGGGAATAATTAAATTTCGGGGTGTTTGAAATGTTTGAAATTCTATTTTAAAAATAATAATAATGGTTGAATATCCTTTATCCAAAATGCTTAGAACCAGTAGTGTTTTGGATTTTGGAATACCTGTATTTGCATATATGCATATAATGAGATATCTTTGAAATTGGACCCAAGTCTAAACAAAAAAAAATGCATTTATGTTTCATATACATATTATACACATAAGATGAAGGTAACACATTTAATAATTTTGTGCATGAAACACAGTCCATCAGAAAGTGAAAGTGTCACTCTCAGCTAGCCATGTGGACAATTTTGTATTTTGGAAGGATTTCAGAATTTCAGAATTCCAGATAAGAAATGTTCAACCTGGAATACATTTAAAAACATTAAATATATTAGTGTTTGAGGCTCAAACTTTTATCTTCCATAACCAGCAATGAATGGTATGTATTCAGAAGTTTGTAATCTTAGTATCTATAATTAAACAATTGTATTTATGTGTTGTGCCTTTGTAAAAGATTTTATGTAAATATATGTATTTTTGTTTATTTTAATATAGCTTCTGAAAAAGGCCAATGTATTCATGTACAAAGCCAAAACATGTTGGACTTTTCAAAGAATAAATTTGGTCCAGCTAACTTGCACATGGAGATCTTTATTTTTCTGTTAAAATTGTAAGCTCTCAGAACAAGAGTGTACCAGGCTGGAGAAAGCTACTCTAGCAATTTTCTACGTCTACCCTCCCTTTCAAGATACCATCAAGGCAGAAGAATGATTGTCTCTTGTAGTATTCTATTAGCACTAGCCACATAAAGGAATTCATTTCACCTCCTTGAGAAGAACGTAAATCAAACCTACTTCCAGTGTCTAATCTACACACTTGTTCCTGGCTACTTGTCATGATGAACACAAGTTCCCTCCAGTAGCAGAGATACTATGGGGCTTATGCACTCACATCTTGTTGTCTTGGACCCCTTTTACACTGACCATATAATTGCAGTGTAGATGGGATCTCTGCTTCCCATAGACAAATGGTTCCTCCATTCTAGGAAACAAAATTCCTCAGTAAGCATTTGATCTGTCCCAGCAGGACTCTTCTGACATACTTACACTGTGATGAATGGCTTGTTTTTTGTTTATTCTTGTGTGTTTACTTTTTCTAATTGTATCTATATATATATAAATGCTCTGTACGTAATGAGTTCCTTAAAAACAAAAGAACCAATGAACGAAATCACACCAAATTTGGCAACAAAACGTCTCACAACACAAGGAGTGACCATCACTCAAAAAATTATGATTTTGTCATTTGGGAGTTGTAGTTGCTGGGATTTTATAGTTCACCTACAATCAAAGAGCATTCTGAACTCGATCAACGATGGAATTGAACCAAACTTGGCACACATAACTCCCATGACCAACAGAAAATACTGGAAGGGTTTGGTGGGCATTGACCTTGAGTTTGGGAGTTGTAGTTCACCTACATCCTGAGAGCACTGTGGGATCAAACCATGATGGATCTGGACCAAACTTGGCACAAGCACTCAATACGCCCAAATATGAACACAGATGGAGTTTGGGGAAAATAGACCTTGACATTTGGGAGTTGTAGTCACTGGGATTCACAGTTCACCTACAATCAAAGAGCATTCTGAACCCCACGAACAACAGAATCAGGGCAAACTTCCCACACAGAACCCCCATGACCAACAGAAAATACTTAAGGCCATCCAATCCAACTCCCTTCATCAGGGCAAGAAAATGTAAACAAAGTCCTCCTGACAAAGAGCCATCCAGCCATAGATATAGATAGATGGATGGATGGATAGATAGATAGATAGATAGATAGATAGATAGATAGATAGATAGATAGATAGATAGATAGATAGATAGATAGATAGATATGATTCACACACACAGAGAGAGAGAGAGAGAGAGAGAGATAGTATCATAGATTTGAAAGGGACCCTTAAAGAAGGACAGTAATATGTTGCATGTACCAGGGTGGGCAAACCAGACACTCTCCACATCAACACTGAAAAAAAAGCAGCAAGAAATACGGTTTACCCACAAGCATAAAGAAATTACATATTTTAGAAACCAACACTTTCTCATTACTTTATTTTCCAGATCAACAGACTGGGCCACAGCAATGCGTGGCAGGGGACAGCTAGTATAGCATATGTTAAAGCTACTTACTCAAAAGAAAGTGTTTAACTGGAATTTAATGGAACTTGGATTGCACTCTTGAAGACAAAATGTTCTGCTTATGAGCTCCTAGTTGGAAGTCCTATAAATTAAAATAAGTTGCCCTGAATGTTAGGTGTCAGAACTGGGAACAAGCATGAATAAAACTCAATATATAAATTCAGCACTGTACTTATTCTGTGGTTTTATAATATTCCCTTTTAAAATGCTAATACAACAATCTGGCTCAAGGATTTTGATAGAACATTAATCATAGTCAGAACCTTTGTTCCCTAAGAGATAGATTCAAAGACCTTTCCCTGAATTGAAATTTGCTAAGGCTATTGTTTAGAATTACACTAGGAAAACAAGAATCAGCTGGACAGAAACGATAGCCCTAGATAAAATACACTTGGAAACATATACAACAATCTCCTGGATTGAAAACAGCTGGACTAGGAGGATAAATAGAAAGACAAAGTAAGGCAACTAAACACTGCCAGTTCCCTCCGTGCCCTCTCGCCCTTTCACTTCAAACTACCATTTATGTTAACAACTCTAAAGTTATCAACCACTTCGTGCTATAAAACAGTTGCTGGGCAGGTAGATAAGAATGTGTGGCAAATCCATGGGCCTTTGTGATGAGGTCCTAAGGCACACTGAAACAACTGCATCATGCAACAAACACTGGAGCCCACACAACGTTCTAGTGATTTTTGGATCTACACTAT